GTGTGTCCTCTGACTTTGACCACTGAATCTGATGCTCTCGCTTACAAAAATGTGCAGAGATTTGTAATAACAACATAAGGGTATGTGTCTCTGGCAGAAAAGCTCTGACAGAGCTCTGGGAGATGAGAGAGGAAAAACGCTATATGGACAGGAGTCCTAATGCTACTGTTTCAAAATCAAAGAATACATGTATTAATCAGAACACTCGCATAAGAACATAGCACTTGCAGAGCGCATGCAGAAACGGCCGTTTGGCTTGCAGCTCTGTCTCTCTCAGCGCTGTCCATAGTTCTGAAACAACAGCTAAGCAATAGTCACTTGTATCGCAGCCAACAAATTGACATAGCCTCTGGGAGGGAACATCAGAATCATCTAATATGACTTCAATCCAAACATGATGCGAACAAGTTCGCCCAAATATTGGCAGGGCATGTCCCTACCGTCCATGTGCAAACCTATGCCCTTGTCTGGGATTTTATCTTTGTGTTGGCTCATATCCCTCTCTTAGTGATTTCTGCATGACATGGCACTAAATTCCACTCTGCTCAGCATAAATCATGCTGGGGTTTTTCCAGGCTCATGCTGTCAATGTTTATGAGGTATTAAAATGCGTTGCCTCTGTCACATTTACTTCTAAATTACCACAGAGTAATAGGCTAAGTGTGTCTGGAAAATGAGCTGAGTTTTCTACTGGCCTGCGCTCGGCTTCAGTGAACAGGAGATCATAACAGCCCCCCCCCCCCCCACACACCTCCTTGTGGATGATAATTATGTGGCTTCATATCCTCTAACTCCTCACAGTTTTTCAAAACAATTCATATTTGATCTCACTTTACTGGGCTGTTACTTTATAAGACGTTCAGAGTTATGGCTTCAGAAACACTGAAACAATGATTTACTCAGATGGCCAACATATTTTGCCAGCAAAGTGCATCTCCATTAGTGGTCCTGTTTTTTTCTTGCCTCCAGCTGACAGTTTATCTATGGCTATTTGCAGTATAAAACAATTTGTTAGTCTTTAGCCTATTCCAAACATCACTTTAATCCATTAATACACTTAGGGTCAAAGTCATAGTGACACACTCACAGCAATACAGCTTCCCTATAGTAAACATTTTAACAGGAACACCATCAACGAAATTAAATGCGGTGAAGAAAAATGGAAATGAAATCTTTTTTATCATTGTGAAGTTCTTGTTCTAGATAGTGATATATCTTTAATCTTGCTAATTCTGTCAGTGATGCTGCTTTTTAGCCATGCTAATGCTGTGGATCTAGGGATGGCAATGTCATTCTGCTGGTTGATCACTTTGGTACTATAAATGGATTGCCATGATATTTTGCATAGACAGTCATGCTACACCCACAGGAAAAATCCCTCTCTGCAACAATTCTATGTCCCCCTCAGGATGAATCGTAATAACTCTGCTGATCACTTAAGATTTCTTCTGTCACCACCATCAGGTCCAAATCTTGATTTGTCTTGATTTGATTTGGGTTGTGGCCTGCTTAATATTGGCATGTTAGCATGTTGATGTTAGCATTTAGCTCAAAGCCTCACAGATTATCGCTGAGTCTTAGTCTTATTCAAGCGAAATACTGGGCTAAAATACAAACTTTCATTAGTTTTTATCACTCATAAGGAATCCTACAACATAGGGCATGTCAGCATTCTGTATCTCACTCGATGACATCTTAATCCATTTAGTTGCTGCTGACCTCCATCCTCTTAAAAGGCCCTTTCCTTTTTCCTTAACATTCTTTCCCTTCGGTGTCCACACAGTGTTTCACTTGTATCATACATTATTCAAAGTTGCTGAATTCTCTTGCTGTGCCTTTAAAATATTCAACTTGAGCAGTTTTTGTGTCACTTCAGGTCCCTTGTTCCTCTGCTGCTTTTGTTCATCAATTGCAAATACCCTTTTCAAACAGGGCCATTAACTGAGTGATACTAAAGCCTCCAGATGGGCACCACAGGGTGGAAAATCATCTCCTACAATGTGACAGAATCTGTCACGAAAATGAAAGTGTGAAAACACTTTACAGTCACATTCTGTCCAAACGGATCTGCTTGAATGGCTAACTGTGGTATGCTGTACTGGTGGCCAAAGTCAGTGTTATACTCTTTTATTTATAGGCTTTTAGAAAACCTGTAAACAAGTAAAGTCACCTGTAATGTGTCTTTCTGCATGTTTTCCTAGGTTGCATTTCACATCCAACCATACAGGGGGCGAAACGACCAGAGTGTGCATGAAAACATCAAGTACATCATTGACAGGTAGGCACTCATTTGGCTGCACTTCTCCATCACTGACTCAAATTAAATAGAAAACCTTTAAGATTTCATGGACAGTTGAAAGAGCAGTAGTTACAAAAAGAATACTTTTAGAAAGCATTTCCGAAGGCCAGTTTCATGACTCATGAATTAGTTTTTGAAGCAAAGGGTTATTTTTCCATCCTTTTAGGTTTGATTCTCTCTGAAAAGGAGCACTTGTCAAGTATATACAAACTCGACAGCCCAACCCCCCAGTTGCAAATGGCTTGTTAAAGAATTTAAGCGCCATGAGGTCAAAATATACACATCACAAGAAATGTCAGAGATTGTCAAGAAAATTACTGAGCAGATTTGTGCGCCCCAGAGGACAGACAATTTCCATTTTCAGCATGAGCTTTCTTGTGTTTTGCTCATGTCCCACAGTCACCTTGAAACTCAAGAAATCTAATAATCTAACAGGCAGATTGGAGTGACACTTACTGATCACATTAAAGCTCCTTAGGGGACAAAACCCTATGAATTTTAATGACCCCCATGTTGTTTTATGTATCCGTAGACTGAAGAGAAACATTTTTTTTTTTACATTTTTTGCCACACTACTTTGTTGTCAAGCCTTGCAAAATCATTAGTTTGCTGCTGCGTGATACAAGACCATAGCAGCCTCTTGATTTAATCAACTAATCCTTAATAAACTAATTGTTTCAGCACTGGTCTACTATGTTATTATTTTACTGTATTTTTGTCTTTAAAGGTACGGTGACCACGGAGCCTTCTACAAGTTTACATCCAGCACTGGAAAGAGCCTTCCTCTATTCTACATCTACGACTCCTACCTAACTCACCAGAGTCCTGGTCTGAATTTTTGACTCCCACTGGCTCCCACAGTGTGCGCGGCTCAGCCTATGACTCCATCTTCATTGCCTTGATTGTGGAGGAGCGCCACAAACACGACATCCTGGCAAGTGGCTTTGACGGCATGTACACTTATTTTGCTTCCAATGGTTTCTCCTTCGGCTCTTCTCACCAGAACTGGAAAGCCATCAAAGCTTTTTGTGACGGCAACAATCTCCTCTTCATCCCCAGCGTTGGACCTGGTTATATTGACACCAGCATCCGACCGTGGAACAACCACAACATGCGTAACAGGGTGAACGGTCGCTACTATGAGACGGCCCTGCAGGCGGCGCTGAATGTGAGGCCAGAGATTGTCACCATCACATCTTTTAATGAATGGCACGAGGGGACACAGATAGAGAAGGCTGTGCCTAAAAAAACAGTGACCCGTGTGTACTTGGACTATCAGCCACATGGACCAGATCACTACCTGGAGTTGACCCGCCGCTGGGCGGAGCAGTTTAACAAAGAGAAGGAGCAGTGGCTGATGTGAGCTTTCATCAAACTGACTTGAATCAGCATGCTCTACGGAAGCGTGTGTACACATGAAAGAGGACACAAGAGAGCAAATCTAGAGATTGAGTGCATCAGGACATGCTTTTACCTTTTAATTGACCGGATCTGAGTTTCTGCAAGCGTGCGTGCGTGTATTTGTGCACACATCCTGATCTGAAAGAATCTAACAGAATGAGACACTAATGTTGATCTTCCCTGTACCCCGGTTAGATTTGTCAAAATGGTGATGCCATGGAGTTTTAAAAGCAACAAGAAAGGGTTAAGCATGCAAGTGACGAGCTTTTATTGCAGAAAGACGAAAAGATTGATACCACTTTTACATCTGTACATTATATATGAAGCCGCAGCCAGCTTCTTATTTAATGTTAGCTTAAGAAGTTATGGTTTTACGAGGGGCTATATGGAATATTTGTTGGCCAGGTTAAAGGACGTTCTGTGATCTCCGCTGGTTGCTGGCAACCTTATTGTTACAATATTCTTAACTGAATCACCACAAGAAAGTGAAGTATATTTCCCAGTATGTCAGACTATTGCTTTTAGGAGTTTTATTTCAAATCATACTAAAATATTTCAGTAGATTCATATGATTTCAAATGTTCCTAATTCTGACAAAGAAGCTTCACAAGTTTAAATCCTCTTTAAGAAACTAAAAAGTATATTAGTTGGTATGTAAAAATAAAACACCCTTATGTATTTATAGATTTATAGCATGCAGATTATCACTGCTCCTCTCCACTGTATTAACCAACAAAGTGCGCATTGTCCAAGTATGTCAATTTATTTGGCAGGCAAAGCAAGTCAGACAGGCCGTTTGAAGAGCAGTTACACTAAACTTGGCCATAAGGTTGTAAATGGAAGTCAGAATTGTGCTTAAGTTTTCCTAATATTCACAGACCTATGTGATAATCAGATTTTTTGTGTAATTCCCTTTATGGAAAGAAGCCATGTTCATTGTGTGCACACATTACCTTCTTTCACTAAGTGAAAACAAGAGAATCAAAGGTTGAAAGTGTTAAGGCTCATTGTTTTGAGTGGTTATATGAATAAAAAGGATTGACTGAGGCACTTTGCTAAGTGGATTCACGTGATTTATTTTCGATAAAATCTTCCTGTCTACTAACATAAAAAGGTACTTTTAGAAAGGCAATTTTGAGATCTTTCATTAGATTTTGGCTGTGAAGGACACTTTTTTTCAACACTTACAATCTCATTCTTGCTTTTACACTTCATAAAGAATCAATCGAGTAAAGTCCAGACACTTACAAATACAGAGACCTATGTCTCATATCTTCTTGGCATGAATGAATAAGACTGATACTGGAAAAAACTTTATTTTGGCAATGCCCAACGTTGTACCATCCATCAGGCAATGAAAGTTTGAAAAATACTGCAGTTATTAACAGGGTAGATGAATTTCATACCGTACGCCCACATGGTCCACGTGCTAACCAACCCGACCAAAATGTAATGTAGTAATGAGTAACTAACTGTAGCAGGTGAACAATTGTAGTGCAAGCACACTTAAACTTACTTACTTACACTTAAACTTACATGGGGATAAAATAAATACAGGGGATTCTTAATTTAATAAAAAAACTCAACATTTGATGTATAGTCTCCTCCCATCCCCTATGTTATCACAAATAATTATTAAGGGCATATAATAGGTGCCTACTATACCTCTAACATTAAAGTAACCACTATAAAAATATTAAGTCTGAATTAATATTAAAAATAGAAATCATGGTCGAGTTACTCAAGTCCATAAAGCCGCCACCAGAACAATATCAGCTAACGCTTGAGTTGTTCCTGAGTTCTAGTCTTGCCGGGGGAAAGACCGATTCTTCCAAAAGGATTCATCTTTTCTGAGGAAGTCCCAAGTGAATGCTGGTTGTGCGTCTCAGCATGTGTTGTAGTGTTTGGAGAGGTCATGCTTCCCCCAAATCCTCAGACAGCCCATACTTGTGCTCCAGCACATCAACTGTAGAGGAAAGGGCACTGAAAACAGAATTACAGTCATTTGTTGTTTAATGTACGAGTCTCCATTAGAGTGAACATGGGAGGTTGGGGGGCGGGGGTGGCACTGAAGTGAACTGTAACCATGTTTTAGCCCAAACATTTATGAAAAATACCCCTTGATTACTTTCTTTGGTCAGAGTATTTACTCTATTGTATTCTGTCTGCACATGCTTCACTACATTTTGTTTACTAGGTTTCAGTAGATTCCTAATCATAGCAGGTGCTGTGGGAGGCTCATCCTCCCAGTGGTGGAGTACAGTGTGATGACACTGCTGTTTGAGTGGAAAGAGCAGAAGTAAATCAAAAACACTGGCAGGTGCTGTTGACACAGGTGGATCTTTCAAAGAAATTAACCTGTGCTTGCTTTGGTGCATATAGTCCCTTCATCCTGAGTTGTGTAGTGAACATAAGACCTGCAGGTACGCTCACATTACACTTCAGTCTCAGTCACTTCATTTTAAGCCTGTACAACTGCCAAATTTAAGAATTTTTTTCTTGCTTTTTTTTTTGCCATCTGGGTCAGAGTTATTTAAAAATATCAACATACTTTGATATTTTTACATACAACTTCATACTAATAGGAGAAAATACAATATGTGAGATGGCAGTTGTCAATCAAATTGTGACATTGTGACCAATTAAACTTCACAAAGAGACATCAAATTATTTACCCCCACTATTTAATGCTTTTTTTGTGTTCCGAGATTTTTCGGAAGCCATTTCAGCACCATCCACACTTTTTTTTTTTATCTGTAAGCATTCTCCATTTCCTCTGGGCATTGCACTGTGGGAGAATATCAACAGCACTATCACAAACTGGTCGTATTCAGTATGCTTTGAGTATAATTTATTTTATTACTTTTCCACTGTGAACACACTAGATACTAAAACCCTGCTTAGAATCAGCATGTATTATTTGGCAGAGGGAAGATTACGAAACTGTAGCATCAGCCTCATACACTATTTACAGATTGCTGATCAATATTTATATACTGGCTGACCATAAATAAATTTGTGGATATTATTAGTTGGTATGACTTCCTTTTGGGCAGAAGAAATTGGCACATGTAACTGCAGAAAGTGAAAGCTCATTTGGGTGCCAGTAACAACACAAACTCACCAGCCGGGTCTGATGATCCGGTATTTGCCGAGTACTGATAGGTCAACCACGGTTGATCCGAGGCGGCTCTGGTCTCCTATTGGTCCGCCATCCACCACCACTGCCAGCTTGGGCCAGAGCTCCTCAAACTCCTTCAAAGGAAAAACACAGCAGAGTTAACGTTTAAATAGCAATTTTGTTTACTCCAACCTGAATTAAGATGCGGGAAAAAAACTGAAAGAAATTTAAAAATCTAATGAATGTGAGACTCCTGATTGTACTTTTCCCACACTGTTTCACTTACATGTACGGCCACGGTGCTGGTGTGTGAGCTGATGTTGGCGCTGGTGAGTGCGAGTGGTTCCGCACACATCTGGCAAAGGCGTCTCATAAAGGCATGGTCTGGGATACGAACGCCTACAAGCTGAGGAGCACATGGACTTGTAAACAGATGATTGACCCATTTGTTTGATACGTTATTTTCTGTACGGACTTACCGAAGTAAAGGGGTTGAGATCTGTGTTCAGTACTTCAGATCTTTCAAACACCAGAGTGACGGGACCAGGCAGTAGGTCACCTAACAGCGCTTTCGTCACCGTCACCTTACAGTACCTGTCCATAGGGACAAAAACAAGCCGTGTTTATGCTGGCAGTGGTACATTAAGTCATTATATGAAAAACACAGTTTAGATAGCGTTGCACAGTTTGACATTGTAATCTTGTGAAGTTCTATATTTAATCCAGGATGTTGTCATTTGGTAGCCTGCCTCATCTCCACTGCATTAATTTGTGATTTACTTAGAAATGCCTTCATTTAAAAACATATTTTCCTAACCAATGAATTAATGAATACTGGGGTATTTCTGTGACAGCAGGTGTGCCCGTCGCTCAAAATGTAAAATGTGTCTTGTTGGTGTGGAGATGGTATCCCTGCCTCTTCTGCATGTGACTCTTCTGTGCACGACTAATATATTTGCGCAGTATTGTAGGTCCACAGAGAAATCATCACTACTGAGAGATGTCAGAGATACCACCTTCTCATGTTCACTAGTAAAACAGCCTCGTATGTACACTTACTTATAAATATCCTGAGTTTCTCCTACACAGATGGCCAGTGGTTTCTGTCCATTGCGTCGTTTGATGTTGTACATTTTTCTGACGGCTTCAGAGTTCTGGGCCAGACAGGCCAGGCCGTAGATGGTGTCTGTGGGGACAGCAACCACATGACCCTCCTTCAGAGCCTTCACCGTGCAACTCAGGATTTCAGCACCATCTGCAGTTCAAAAACAAGGAGCGCCAATGACGCATCATCCACTGCATGATAACAAAACACTGAGGGTAAAACATATACAGGCTGCTTTAATCAGGTCAGTTGTATATGTTAAATGGATTTTGGGGTAGTGAAGGGCTGAAAGAGAGAAACTAGCAGATGAGGACAGTAACACATGGCATGTATTGCTCAATAACTGCACAAAATGGGCACTCCACTGGTTTTACATGTGAACATTTAAATTTAACCAGTGAAAACAGTTGTCTTCAGTGGCTCTTGTCAAAAATGTGGGTGTGCGAGACATGTGCAGTGTCTAACTATTGAGTTGCATTATGGGAAGTGTAGCATTCAGATATTTTGGAGCCTAACCAATACAAGGGATAAAAAGTAAGGATTTTTAAAAGTCTGCTTCTTGTGAGTCCCCTAAATGTATTCTGATTATCATTTGAATTCTCATTTAAGTAAAGCACAAGTACATCAAAGCAATACTTACTGTGTTACTTCATACATCTGTACTGTCTATTCAACTACACTTATCTAATCGCTGTGTTTAGTCAATGAGTTCTTTGCAGAATAAAAATTTGCAGGCAAAACATATGATAAAGTCATAAATATGATAAATAGCTATAGTATCCATTACCCAGCTGTCAGTAGGAGAAGATGTATTCAGATCCTTTACAAAAGTAAAAGGTCCTGCATTTAAAACCATACTTAAGTGGTTTGGTTTTCACTGGACCAGAAGGGTATTAGAATTGTAATCTTAAAAAAGGTAAGTACTAAGACAAATGTAATGGAGTAAAACTTACAATATTTGCCACTAATGTGTACTGGAATAGATGTATAAAGTTGCATAAAATGGAATCACTCAGTAAAGTACTAGCACCTTGAATTTTTACTCAAGTAAATTCCTTGAGTAAATGTACTTAGTTACTTTCCACCACTGCTAACTGTAGTACTTTAAGTAGTTACATTAACATTATCACACACATATATGCATCAGTGATGTAACACTCTGAAGGGGCCATTCTTCATATTGAGTCGCTTTAATGACAGATCATAGTTCATCAAGTCCTCACATCTAATATTTAAGCACATTTGCTGTTAATCTGTCCATACTTTTATGTAAGTAACAGTTACTTTTCAAAGTAGTACATTGAAAAGTTGTCTTTTACATAAATTTTAATTAAAAAAAAAACATTTTACATCCTTTATTCCTTATTTTATTGAAGCACAGAAATAGCATGCTACTCCCAAAGCACCATCGAAAGGAAGGACTAACTGTGTGTCACCTGATGACATTATAAATAAATCTTTGATGCCCTGATGTCCAGTTTGTTCAGACAGCTGCCTGTTTATAAAGTATATTAACTTTACTGTCCAAAGACATAAGTTCTGTATAGGTGTGGAGTCTGCCTTCAAATCAAACTGGGGACAGGTTCATGTCATACATGGCAGGAAAATCAGGAACCTGATGAAACACACTGCGGCGGTGAATCTTTCTGCAATACCCGAAATCTATCAATGCCATTTACCTATTTCCAAAACCTATAGTCTATAGGAACCCACGTGCACTTTTGCTGTGAATGATGACAGAGCTAACCTGTTTGGCCCTCCGACGGTCCATTGGAGGTCGGCGGCAACAAACGCAGCACTTTGGTCTTCAGCTCTTTACACATTTCTCCTCCGAGTCGACGAGCTTCGGCCGAACTGTGAGCTCCTCTGGATTTTAATAATTCAACCGCGATGTTACAAACAGACCTCATACAAACAGATCTACAGCCACGGATGTGTCATTTTACAGCCGGGGAGCATGTTGTCGCTTGACGAAATTACAGAAGTCTTCCGGGTTACACCCCCCAAACATGACGCAAACTTTCTTAAACGGCCAGCAGCACAAGTTAAAAAAAAAGTCAATAACAAGTTTGGACTTTGAAGCATTCATTATGTGATGTCTGTTTAAGTGAATCAAGTGATGCTGTGATTCTAATCGCTCTTTTGTGGAGCGTACATGGAGTTCTCGTTAAACTGTTGTTTTTGAAACGATTTCTCTACATATATTCGTTGGGACATTTCTGTGCTGTTTGGTTTTATATGATGTCTGTAGTTCATAACAAAAGCGGTAGCCTATATAACGTTAGACAAGAGTTCCAATATTAGTTCGTTGTTCGTTCATAACAGAACCCCTGTTAAAAAATGTCAAAATTGCATTCAAACGATCCATAACTATACCAACCTTATTTAAAACGCTTAATATATTAAAAGAGATCATTGTTTACGTTATCGGCTTATCTTTTCTTTTTTACTTAGCCTTTTATTTTTGGAAATATATCTGGGATTTTCTCTTACTCTCCAACAGACATTGCGCACACTGACGCTTAATTAATTTATACATTTAGCCAACCAGCTCTCCTCATTGCTCATTAATTAAGAAAATGTAGTCACCTGTGACACTGCTTAAAAGCGCAGAAAGCACGCATAATATGTAAATGCAGCGTGACAGGCCAACTATGTCTACGGCCATGGCCTCGGACCCAGGTAACAAAACACGCAGCTTTTCAGTTTATTTGTCTCTCCATTTCTTCTAATGTGTCTGTAAAACTGGTAAAGCTTGTACGGAAGACGCAGTGAACTTGCGGACTGTTGAGGGCGTTTCATCGGTCCAACAGGTCAGCCACAATGAGAAGCATGAACATTTGATGGCTGTCTATCCCAAACTAACTGGTGACCAACATGTTTTGTCCTCCACAGAAACTGGAGGGCGTCGAGGACAGACTGCTGACCCTGTCTGAAAAGATAACCCTGTGCAACAGAGTCCTGACTGACCTAAAGGATCTAAGTGATGTTGTAGAGGTGAGCTCTTCTTTCTCTACTTGGATCCTTGTGACTTGTTGCAGATTCTAAAGTTAATCTTATGTCCCACAGAGAAAATCTCTCCAGGATGTGTCCTTACTACGCAGAAGTGACCAGAAGTGTTGGTTTTGTTTGTCCTCTTTGATAATAAACTCAACTAAGAACTGTCATTTGACTGCAAAAATGGTTATTAAGCAGAAGATGCAAACATTTCAGTGACAAGGATAAGGTTTTATTATTATATTGCTCTCAATTCAGAAAGTTATTTATAATACTTTATACAAAACCAAGCATAAGCAAACATTTTCACATTATACAATCTCTTTAAAAAAATACAAATCCTTAACAATTCCTCACTCTTTGGGTGTCCAGACATTCCTTTGGAAGCATATCACCGTGTTGCCTGCGCCCCCCCCCCCCCTTTTAAAAATATTGCTGCCCATTGGGGGAGGGGAAAATGTTGGTGCTGGCAGAAATACTCAGTTTCCAAAAATCACACTGGCTATACATTTGATCAAACCATGTGCTTCCAAAACAATGTCACCATCATTCACTCTGCTTGCTGATTAAAACACGGCAGCAGCTTTAAGTTTGACTTTCATTGGTGAAGATGAGCCAGATTATCCACATGTCAAATATAAATGTGAAAGGCTGAGATGATTACAAAGCAAGCCCCAATGAAACATGTTTATGCATTAAAAGAGAAAACAATCCATACATTTGACCAAAAATAATTCTTAAAACAGAATCAGTCATTCTTTCAGTACTCAAAACAAATCCAGTTGGTTTTAAACGGCATGTAAAGGATGTGGTCAACATTCATGGGAACAGTACTTGGATGGGCACGCTGCAAAGTCCAGATTCACACCACTCCAAATGTGGAAAACAAAATGCTCTATGCTGGAGTTCAGGAAACATGCGTAACATATGGATTGAAAAGGCAGCTTTTGACTCTGGAGTTCAGCACATAAGGTTGTAGCAGAATATCCTTTCATGGAGGGAGGAACAAATCTTGTCTTGGAATCACTATTTAAATGCCACACTTCAATTTGCATAGTTGTTTAATGACAGTATGCATGTATGAGAATATATATTTGATGTATGAGCTTGACTCCTGGCAGTAATTTCAGAGTGCCTTAACAGGGAAATGGTAAGTTAACATTTTGTAATCCAATGGAGCCAAACAGACTCTCTTACCTAATACTGCATATATGGAATGGTTGAGCACAAAATGTGTAACTGGAGCCTTTCACAACATCTTAACCGCCTTTGAAGGAAAGCTCCACTGAAAATATGGCAGAAGGAAACAAAATAAAAAAATCAAGACACAATTTATGCGACATGCATGTCAGTTTGGTTAGATCCTACAGCCTGGACCTAAAATGCAGAATCACATCACCTGCATCTGTTATGTGGCAGATTATATTTTTAGCAATGCTGCATTAATGACTTTCTACTGGAAAACGATAGACTCTAGGAAAACCATAAGCTTTGTCTCAAGGCTTTTGCTGTATTGCAATCCACTGCTGTGATTGCCTGAGACTCAATGAAGAGGATTGGCATGTCAATGGCAAGTCTGAAGCAGAGACTGTCAAGGTAAGGAGGCTCAAAACAGTTCTGTTGTAAGGCCATGTGGCTCTACACTCTTAAGATACAGGGCATATGCCTTCGATCTATCATCATTGCATTGTGTCCCATGTGAAACAATACTGTTGGATCATACTCTGAGCAGGTGGCTATGAAGTACATATATTGTTATTATGGGGACTGTACAAAAGCCCAGCTGCTAGTATAATTATTCAACTAAACACAGCAAAAACTTCTGCATAAATGTGACTGGGGGAAGAATGCAAGGATAGAGGGTATACTTTCGCTCCAAACTCTGAGAGTTAGTAATTCAAAAGTCTATACAAAAATACAAATTCTAGAATAATCTACACGTTTCTCAAAGATGTTTACACTAAGGTGTACTGTATTTACACTGTCACCAGGACATAGTCTTTTAAATGCTACTTTACAGCAGTTGTATACAAAAATCTGTAGTGGTGCTGCACCTCAGCTAACATTAGCTGTCAGATTACTCACTTTACAACTTAGTGTGCAATTAACAGGGAAGAGTGCAGCGAAATGTAGGGCTACTGCAAGTGTGGGGCATCTGGTAAAAACTGTCCGAGTAACACATTAAGGGAACCAGAACCCAGTATCCAGAACCAGTTGACTTGATGCATCCCTGAGAGGGTCACAACCCTATGAAATATGGGATGTTGACAGTAGTTCCTTACTTTTTCATTGTGGCAAGCAGATCCTAGAGGAAAATTTGCTTCTGTGCAGTCTATAACTATTGGTGTCTCTTTCTCAAACTTGCTTTAAACAATACCCATTACGTTCTTAAAAAAAAAAAAAGCAATTCAGTAACATAAAAACAGCTCAACTTAAAAATACAACAAGTGATTGGAATAAATTAATATATTTCTCTTCTATCTTGAAAATATTACCAGTATAATGAAAGAATCAAGCATTTAAATAAATTAACATGTACAAATTTAAATTAGTTAAGTTATAGGCAACTTATTGATGTATTGACTTAATTTCAGGCAGATCTGGTCACAGGTTCTTTTTCTCAATTAGTAAACTGTCAAAAGAAGTAGAAAAGAATAATCACATTTTCTGGACTATACTAGTCTTCCTAGGAAACAAAAGTACTGAGGAAATCATGTCATACTGTATGACAGCAATGAGGGGCTATGTGGCCAACCCTCAAATTCCTACCGGGAGCAATGCTTGATAAAATTATAGTAAATTCCTCTAATATACAGTGCATTCTGGTCAGTTGCATACCAGCTTTAAGGATTTGTTCGGACCTGTAGTACAGTACAAAGATATACAGACAAGTTTTGGTTTCCTGCTCTGGTGTGATCTTCAAGCCAGGAAAATGGAACTCATCAGTGCATGGACAACACTCATTTTTCATTCAACCAATTCGAGTTGATATTGAGGGATATCATGTACATTTGATTATGTTTATAACAAAGGATTTGCTGCCTTTTCCCTGCATTAAAGTTGCTAAATCTCCAAAGCAAACTAATCTTGTTTCTAAAGTCTCAACAGAAATTATTCATAGTTCATGTATATATGTTGCGCAATGCCATACAGAACATAACGCACTGCAGGTACAGGGGGTTCGATGCACACACTATATAGAGAGAAAGAAGAGGTGTCACTGTGGAGAATAACTCGCGATGTGGGTGGAAATGATGCCTGTGGAATTGATGCCTGTGGCTGAGTGGGTGCAACCAACACATGGTGGCAGACTCAGAAGTCAGCTCTAAGTATTGCCATCAGTGGCCATGTTGAAGTCTTCAGCGACCAGCAGCAGAGCCTCAATGTTGGCAGCAGTCTCAGGGCTCTGCAGGGAGAGGAAGTCCGAGACATCCATGTTAGCTAACCCGTCAGATGAGGGAGGGCTGGTGGCAGTGCTGCTCACTATAGTGGAGAAAGTTTGAGCTGAGCCGGAGGAAGAAGTAGTGGGGGCCTCCAACCTCACCTCACCACCCACCTTGGAGGAAGACTCGGGAAGGCAGCACGAGGAAGATGAGGTGGCTGGATGGTGAAGAGGCTCTGGGGGTTGTAGCGGTGGGGGAGGAGGCGGCTCTGATGGTTGAGGCGGTGCTGGGGCTGAAACAATGGAGGAGGCACTCTTTGAACTCTTATCTTTAGCAGAGTCCCTGCAAGCACACTGGCACTGGCAGGATTCCTCCTGTTTGATGATGATGACTGGCAGGCTGAGGCCGATCTGTTGGACTGAGCTGCCTGAAAACACAAAGAATGTAAAGTTAACTGAAAACAAAAAGGACAAAACAAAGTGGCTAAGTTGATTGAAATCAAATATCTTGCAAAGCATATTAAAAGTGAAATATTTAAGAGGTGAGTAATGACTAATTTCTTAGAAGTTGGTACTCATTAGTTAATTGAGAAGAGGACAAGAGTTAATGCCACTGGTACTCAATTGATGACTTCAAGCAAGTGATCACTTGCTCCTTAATAAGAGTTAACTTTGAGTAAAACTGCAATCAGAAATACTTTGGCACTACTCTTTTGAAGAGGATAATAAGGATAATATATAATTGATCAAACCATGCCAAAAATTCTGATTTCAGCTTCTCAACTGTGAGGATTTGCACCTTTTCCAAAGCTTTATATCATCAAAATAAATATTTGTTTTAGATTTGGACATTGAAAGACAACTCTTGCCCTTTTTCACTCTCTTCGTACATTTTACAAACTAAATGACTAACTAGAAGAAAAATCTATTCAATATCACTTGACATTACTTTTTTCATCACTATCTAAACACTGTGGACGAACCTGCAGTACTTGAGTGTTAAGAGTGGGGTGGTGATGGAGCAATGGATAAGACAGATGCCTTTGATGTGAGAGACCTGGGTTCGATTCCCACTGTGACCCATCCACCGTTGTGTCCCTGAGCAAGACACTAAACCCCTAGTTGCTCCAGAGGCGTGCAACCTCTGACATGAATAGCAATTGTAAGTCGCTTTGGATAAAAGCGTCAGCTAAATGTAAATATATAATATATATTTAAGACTGGTCAAAATCATCTTCATCTTGATATCTGTGCAACAATACCTGTTCTCTTCTCATCCTGAATGTTTGAAAGTTATTGCTCCTGTGCTGTTTACTGTTCAAATGTTTTATCAAACATTTTAAAGGGATGCTGATTTAACTGTTCTAGCACTGTGCATTAATTAAGCATCTTGGAACTGCATTTGTGTAATGAAACCATTGAGAGAGTTAGTGGAACTCTGACACCAATCTACCATTTAATTAATCCTTAAAGCTAAGTACTGCGGTGGATGTCAAAAAAATTTATGTTTTTATTAAAGCCCTTTGGCTAAAGTCCACAACATCGAATCACTTTTCATTGACTTACCAGCATTTCCTCCCACTGGTATGGCTGTAGTGAAGAAAACCTTTTCCACTTTTGGAGCTCCTTGATGTGGCTGTAAAAACAAACAAACACCACAGTTCAAGCAGGATATAAAAAGCTGGAGACACGCTAGAGTATTATGAGGTTGATTTGCACCATATTTCTAACTGTACTAAGGGGTTGTGGTTGATGTATGTTGTATTAAAAGTAATACCAATGAGAATATTAAAAAAGAAAAACCATACCTATCCCCACTGTTTTGCTTTACATATTAATTTGTTAAATTTATGTTTTTGCAGAATTACTTAAGTGACTTACAATTACTACATGTGTCAGAGGTTGCACGCAGTGGGAATCAAACCCATGTCTCTCACACAAAAGGCATATGACTTTTCCACTAGGCCATTGCCACCCAATGGCGCAGTGGATAATACCGATCAAGTCACCACTTGTCTGTGCAAAAGCTGTGTGTAGCATTACTCACTGCTTGCTCTGGGTTCTGCTGGCTATTGGCAGCACTGCTGAGGATCCACTGGAGGTTTTGGTCAGACATGACCAAGCTGGGCTGCAACAGGTTCTGGGTGGGAGCTATGGTGATGGTGGCAGGAGTGGCAGGCAAACCAGTGCCAGAGTTAGGGACAGGGTTGTTAGCCAAAGGCACAGGTTGAGCCACAGCTGCCAAAGCGTCTGTTGTGGAGGCCGCAACAACAGACACAGCAGCAGGGCCTGGAGCTGTGGTGGTCTGTTCTGGAGCCACTGGAGGAGGAGCGGTGATGGGTGGTGGTAGAGGAGTGGTCTGTGTGGCACTATCAGGCTGCAGGAATGTGGGTGGCAGTGCCACGTAGTGCTGGGGGGTGACGTTGCTTGGAGCTTGGACAGAAGCCTGGGCAGGAACATCAGAGATCTGCTGAGGCCCGGCTAGTTGCGTGAAAGGAGTAGGCTGTGTGGAGCTGATAGTAGTGGTTGCAGAGGCAGGGGTGGAGGCCAGAGAGGGAGAGGTCTGACTGAGCTGGGAAGGAGCCTCCATGACTGCAGTTGTGTGGCAACAGGAAGAAGAGGAGGTAGGATTGAGAGAGAATGAGATGAGAGACGAGCCATCAGTCACTACTGGGTGGGCAGAGGTCTCTAGGCTGAAGGGTTCAGCAAGGCTCTCTGAGGAAGGAAAAAAAAAAAAAACACACTCCATCAGTGAACAAGAACATTCAATACAATGCAACCTGACAGATTTTGATATGTACTGACCGTTGGGATGGGCATCATCTTGGCTGACACTATTTTCAGGACTCTGGAACATAAGCTCAAAGATTTTCACAGGGGTCACGTTGCTGAGGTCCAAATTTTGAGCCTGTAATAAAATCAAATCTTAATAAAACCATTTTGTGACTTTACAACTACAACAGCCAGGAACATTTTACTTCCAAATTCTTATTACAGTGAAAATTGAGGTGTCAAAATAGCTGCCTGTTAATTGACATATTTACTGTATATCTTGACAACTCCTCAACATCTTCAATCCAATGTCTGTTTGGCAAAGCTAAAGCAAGGCCAGACTTACGTTATGCATGTTCTCTCGAAGCTCTGAATCTGTAGAGATGAGGCTCAAATCACTGAGGCACAGCGAGTGATTTGCATCCTGTAATTAAGAGATGAATGGGACCTAATTAAACTTGCCACTGCTATGGGATCAAGTGCTGAGTCATGCAAACAAGATACAGGAACTAAATTGGAAATGAATGCGACGCCTACTGTATGTTAATGTACAAATCCAGGCTTTATGTGAAGGCACACTTTACCACAAAAGGTAAACTAGCAGGTAATGGGATCATTACTTTTCCAACTATTCCTTTTTAGAAGAAGTAAAAATGTGTATTCATACAATTAGTTTAATCTACAGCTACTTGTGTTGCATAATAAATTTCAGATTTGCCGTGTTTAATGCAGTGTAGTGTGAACCCCTCAAGCTGCAAATGTTCGCATTTTGCGGGTATGCAACTTTTGTTTTTGCCTAACATGCTCTTTAGAATGACTCCCATCAAGAAATATAACTTCAAGAAATGCCCCCAACATCAACAGGCACATGTTACATAGACTGTGCATGGAGAGCATGGCAACTGTGCCGACAACAACAGACAAAGTCTCCTACACTGAGAAGTTGCTGTTCTGTGACTCACTTCGGAGAGCGGATGGGTGAGGGTGACGCTGAAGGGCTGTCCTTTGTCGTGGCCCCGGATGTGACTCTTCAGACTGTACTGGCTGCTAAAAGTCTTCTCACAGCCATCACTGGGACAGTTGAATGGCTTCTCCCCTACAGAACGAACACAGAGAGGGAATAACGCAGAATGGTAAGAGCTCATTTTTACAGCATAATCTTAATTTACGTCACAATAAAAAACACAAAACTATCGACAATGTCAGTCAGACAACGCCCATTAACTGTAATTAAATACTCCACAACATATTGATTGCTCAATGTTAAACTTACATTTCATTGCTTTATAGCATGCACACAACTGGAAACACTGGAAAGCAGTTTGAGCACTGAATCTAATATTTCTCTATCTTTTCATCCAACAGGTGGTTCTATTAGATTAAAAACAAAGGTCAATTCTCCTAGACTGGAACATGAGTACGTTTAGGAGATCGACAGGTTGGTCTGATGCTCTACAACATTCTTTCAATCTACAGTTTGGGAGAATCACCCACATAAAAAACTATATATAGGGAACCACATATTAGAAACCAGCTGGACAGGAGTGGGTAGCTAGCTATCTGTTCAGTAGCTGGTACTTTGGGAGGACCTCCCTGAACAAGCACATGATGCAATTGGGGGAATTTCCAATTTAATTTTTTATTTATTAAGTATAAACCCCCTTGAAAACAAGATGATGCATCTTGTTTCTGACACAAAACATGGAAATTTACAGGCATTAAATACATAAATAATAATAATGACAATAAAATTAAATAATCCAAGTCACACAAAACAAGATCATCTAGAACACACACATAAGGGCTCTCCCACAATCCGAAACCACACACATTGCATCTCTGTTACAAGTGCCATCTGCACAAAACTAATGAAACATCAAATAAATTAACACTTCCAAACAAAACTTTGTCAAATATTATGTCTAAGTACTATTATTTTTTTTTTATAAACTTAGCTTCTAAGCCTACATGAGCACATCCTTTTTGGCTATTGCTCTTTTAACTATATTTCTTCCCAGACTTTTGAAAGGAAGGCATAGTAAAGACAACAAAAATGTTTTTGGCTGCAGGGAAATTATTCAAATTTACTCAGTGTGTGGGAGGCACTGGTAACAATGTAAATGCAAATCAGTCATAGCTGAAAAATGGCCTTGTTCAAGCTTCCCAAGAGAAATCAGGGTTACATAAAACAAACCAGTAATATGTACCTGTGTGTGTCCGTACATGTGTTTTTAGGTGATGACTTGCAGCAAAGGCTTTGCCACAGCCATCATGGTCACACCTGAAGGCAAAGACAGGAAAAAAAAATGCAAAAAATGCTTGAGACACGATGCAAATAGACAGTGATGAATTTTCAAGAACAGCGAGTACCCATGACTCATCATTTACATATCACCCCCTATATCTGTACAGCAGATGGGAAACTAATGTACGAAATAGTGTATCTCACCATTATTTTGGGTCTCTGTCTAACCAAAATGCAGTTCCCAATACAACACAGTCCTAAAAATTGAGTTTGTGTAATAGTAGTAGAAGTAACAATACATTTTATTTCCAACACCCTTTATGTTTAAACAAATCCCAAAGTCCTACAGATTTTAAAAATACCTTGCATAAAAATCACAGACAACATTAAAACTGACAAAATGAACTAGCTGTGAGTATCCAGTAGTATCACAGTTCCTTCATCTTCTACTAGGGGTGGAGTGAACCTGGTGTGCTTATAATAATGCTCACCGGAATGGCTTTTCCCCAGTGTGTGTGCGAATGTGCTTCCTTAGGTCGCTGAGTGTGGTAAAGTACTTCGTGCATCCCTCGGATTCACAGTTGAATGTCTTGCCTGTGTGGAGTCTCTGGTGTGCTTTCAGTCTGCAGAGACAATCGAGTGTGTTTCATTAAACCACAGTGGGAAACAAACAAAGCAAAGTGGCATGAAACATCATGTGCTGCCTTCTGTTCCTCATTTTAAGAATGCCTTAAATGCACATGGAAAAGACAGTTGAGTCCACATTCAGATGACAACAGAATTTAGTCAGACACGACTGAACCAAGTACACACACTATTGCAACACTATTGGTCGTATAAGAGAATCTGGGTGGCATGGAAGGTTGGGAGAAGAAAGAGAACCCACCCGTGTGTGGCATCAGTTAGCTGCCCTGAATAACAGCCTCTGACAGGCAGTTGATGGCAGTGGCACAGATCCACCAAGCCCCAGACATGTTGTCATAGCAACCGAACCAATACAGACCAGAGGGCTCAGATGTGGACTACTTAAAGTCACAGCAAAATACAGCAAAATCTAATGGTGAAGTTGCTACAACTGAAGATCGTGTCTGGCATTGGCCAAAATAGTCTAAAACTGTAATTGGGCCCTAGTGTTGTAAGTGTGGATTTAGAAAATTTTAAATGGTACAGATACTCATCTGCACTATCAATCTCAGACAGCAGATTTACCAAATTTTAATCTTAAATGATCAAACTCAAAAACCCCAAAAAGGGGCAGAAAATAGCAACATAAGATGAAAACTGTAGGATTTAGGCCACCCTTTGTTACCGTTGCTATGTTCCCGGGTTGTGTGTGTGAGGAAGTTGATTTGAGCGGGGTATTTTCATTTAGGGAGAATGGGTAATTAGAAAAAAAGCTAGGAATTATTGAGGGCAAACACACAGGACACAGCCCCCTGAGATGACAATGTTCTGCTTTTGGGCTTGGTATTGTGTCATTTATGGACTGTTTATTTTGTTTTTAAAAAAGTTCTGGACTGATTATCTGTTTTGGCACCTCTGATCAAATAAATGCCCTTAACCCTTTAACAGAATTTGTAGGCTGCAAGGAACATACTTCAAATACTGGTTTTTAGTAGAGATGTAATAGTTTGAGAATTGCATATCGTGATTACAGTGACCAAAATGATCACGGTTATCAGTATTGTCACGGGATTGTTAAATAATGCTGATAAAGTAAAAAAAGTGACCCCATACACAATTTGCATAAATAAAAAATGAGTCTTAAGAAGACAGTGAAAGTAATTGCAATGAGCCCAACAACTGACATAAATACAGAGGAGTCTTTATAAGACTTCAAAGCTTTTCTCCTGTTGGAATACTTTTATAACCAATCGACGACTGCCAGATATTAAATGAACAAAGCAAGTTTGGTGGGTAACTTAACTAGGCAACATGTTATCATGTGCAATAGGCGGATAGATACACATGATGCATACAGCAGCAGAACAACATGTGCTGTTTTTACAAAAAACAAAATACGACCACTACAGACCTCAAACTCCAGAGTGCTGTCACAGCCGCCGCCATCTTTTTACTGACCCTTTTTTAATGATAATTAAAATTTGTAACGGTAATACAAACAATAAAAATACAAATTTTACTGTGTTTTATCATTATCCCAGCAACCTTTCCATCCCTAGTTAGAAGAAAATTAACTGCCAGCACACCTATATAAATCTTGGAAAATTATACATTTGAATTATACTGAATTCATTATTTTGTGCCCATCTCCATATTATATTATTTTATGAAAGTTAGACATTTCTGTATTGTGACAACACTAGCTGGGCCTCCCACTTTATGGCAGGGCCTGCCTAATAATTGACAAATTAATTTATATCATGACACGATCCAATCTTTATTACTTATACTAGAGTTTCCCAACCTTTTTTGGCCTGTGACTCTCCCTTTAGGTGACCTGAAGGCTGACAAACTAGACACGTGGGTGATAACAAAACTACTGTGGTGATTATGATCCTTACAGCGATGTGAGGCGAATTACACACAACACAACAAAGGTGTGTGAAGGCTTACCTGTATAATGTGTTAAAGGCCTTCTCGCAGCCTTGCACATCACACTCAAATGGTTTCTCCTTGGTGTGCACACGGACATGAATCTTGAGGCTGTAAGAAGTGAGGAAAGCCTTTCCACAGCCCTGTTGATTGCACACAAATGTGTACTCGCCCCGGTGAGTCTTCTGGTGTGTCCGAAGGTTTCCCGCCGTGCTGTATGTCCTTGTGCAGCCTTCAAACATGCACTGGTAGCGCTTCACCTGATAAATGATGAAGAGGAGGGGGAAATTAGTGGCTAGAATTATTAAATTCAACTGTCTTGAAGCTAAGGAAAAAGACAGCAATGCTTCTTTTAAAATCATTTAAATAGTCTTTAAACTATTTCAAAGCCAGTGAGAAAGTAATTAATATCAGTAATAACCAGCCTTTCCATACGATAAAGTGGCAGTTTAAGTCAGTGTGACCTTTCAGACTGGACTCAATGACTCAGCCACCCGTCAGCACATGAAGCAGGTGAGCACAAAGGACAGCGATGATGACTACAACTGTGAGAGATGGAATCTAAAACCAAAATCCAGAAAATCACATTGTATGATTTTTAAATAATTAATTTGCATTTTATTGCATGACATAAGTACTTGATCACCTACCAACAGTAAGAATTCCGACTCTCACAGACCTGTTAGTTCTTCTTTAAGAAGCCCTCCTGTTCTCCACTCATTACCTGTATTAACTGCACCTGTTTGAACTCCTGTTAGCTGTATAAAATACAACTGTCCACACACTCAAACAGACTCTAACCTCTCCACAATGGCCAAGACCAGAGAGCTGTGTAAGGACATCAGGGATAAAAATGTAGACCTGCACAAGGCTGGGATGGGCTACAGGACAATAGGCAAGCAGCTTGGTGAGAAGGCAACAACTGTTGGCGCAATTATTAGAAAATGGAAGAAGTTCAAGATGAAGGTCAATCTCCCTCGGTCTGGGGCTCCATGCAAGATCTCACTTCGTGGGGCATCAATGATCATGAGGAAAGTGAGGGATCAGCCCAGAACTACACAGCAGGACCTGGACAATGACCTGAAGGGAGCTGGGACCACAGTCTCAAAGAAAACCATTAGTAACACACTACGCCGTCATGGATTAAAATCCTGCAGCGCACTCAAGGTGCCCCAGCTCAAGCCAGCGATTGTCCAGGCCCGTCTGAAGTTTGCCAATGACCATCTGGATGACCCAGAGGAGGAATGGGAGAAGGTCATGTGGTCTGATGAGACAAAAATAGAGCTTTATGGTCTAAACTCCACTCGCCGTGTTTGGAGGTAGGAGGAGGATGGGTACAACCCCCAGTAACACCATCCCAACCATGAAGCACGGAGGTGGAAACATATTCTTTGGGGATGCTTTTCTGCAAAAGGATGACGGATGGATGGGGCCATGTATCGTGAGATCTTGGCCAACAACCTCCTTCCTCAGTAACAGCATCGAAGATGGGTCGTGGCTGGGTCTTCCAGCATGACAACAACCCGAAACATACAGCCAGGGCAACTAAGGAGTGGCTCCATAAGAAGCATCTCAAGGTCCTTGAGTAGCCTAGCCAGTCTCCACATCTGAACCCAATAGAAAATCTTTGACAGCCCCGAAACCTGAAGGATCTGGAGAAGGTCTGTATGGAGGAGTGGGCCAAAATCCCTGCTGCAGTGTGTGCAAACCTGGTCAAGAACTACAGGAAACGTATGATCTCTGTAATTGCAAACAAAGATTTCTGTACCAAATATTAAGTTCTGCTTTTCTAATGTATCAAATACTTATGTCATGCATTAAAATGCAAATTAATTATTTAAAAATCATACAATGTGATTTTTTGGATTTGTACCTATGAGTGTACCTATGATAAAAATGACAGACCTCTACACGCTTTGTAAGTAGGAAAACCTGCAAAATCAGCAGTGTATCAAATACTTGTTCTCCCCACTGTAGTTCCTCTAACTTACTGTATTGATCCTCTTAGGGGTAAAAAAATAAAATAAAAAATGAGACTAAAATACTGCATGTTTACCCCTGGTCGTATTAGATGAGGTAGATTAGCATGTGACATTTTTTTATTGTAACGTCTTAGAATAGGATATTTGTTTGGCAAGAGTTGTGGCCGAAATGGCAGCGCAATTTACATTAAGGGAAGACAACTGAAATTACATTTTTATGAGCGGCCTAATGTCACAGCTGCATGTAGGGCTGAACAATTAATCAAATATGACCTACTGCAATTTTTAAATCGCAGGAGGTGCAACACTTGTTAAAGGCAAAATGTGTGTCAAAATACCATTTTAAATTAAATACTGTTGTACTGCAGAGACACATTCTACAAACTAAAGAATACATAGGTTAGGTACAGATCCTTGAAAAAAAAAATAAAAAAATCACACTATAATCATTTAAATATATTTTTCCACCACAAAACACAGCAATCAGCTGTACTTTTGTACTATAAAGTACTATTACAAAAAAAAGAACTCATGTTAAGTCTCTTGACTACACTTAACAAATTAAGGATCATCTTTGTTTATGTTATGCGTTTCTGAAAAAAAACAAACAAACAAAAACAATATTGGCCATTACTTCCTTAAATATCAAAATCGTTATCGGTCTAGGAGAGGGGTGGGATTTTTTCAGTTGGATACTTTTAAAATCTAGCTGTCTCTTGCTAGTTCTCCAATGTTGCTGACCCCAGCTTTAAGAGATGTTTTTGTCAGTTTGGAAAATAACTGAATCATCAGTTAAAACCCTAAACTGCTCATGCAACTTAGAAGGCTCAATGCTTCACTTCAGGGCACATATGTCAACACACGTAGTTAAATTTTTAATCATACAATGAAAAGGACAAAACCTGCTTAGCTTCTACATATGCAGTGAACGTGATATAAAGCCGATTACATTTCTTTTCAGTCTTACTAACAAACACTAATCTGAGTGATGGGTAGTCTAAGGCCATTCATTTTGATTTTAAGGATGTGGGAGAGATCGTTTGTTAAACAAACATCCATGCAAAGCCACCGTGGGAAGCCTGCTAAAGCTTGTAGTTCAGTACTGTATTCATCTCCCACACCATCGTGACTCTTCTCTCCACCACCAGTTCGATCACTGTGAGAGCATTGTATGCTTTGGTCTCCCACATACAGTGTGAAAGACCACTCCATTACAAATTAAGAGTATTATTAGTATATACAGTGTTTGCTTGACATTGCTCATTATTAGGTTTTTTCCTGACATCTGCTGAAAAGGAGGCTAGAATTTTCTGTTTGTTGTTCCCAGGAAATAGCCCCTCCTGGGTCTGCTCTTCTCTCCTCTTGCTTTCAAAGGCAGGGTGGCTAAAACTGTTCTTATGTAGTACACACTAAATTAAATCTATACAGCATAATTTTGTACCACATCACAGATATTACCAGCAGCACATGAGCGCCACATTTTACTACACACTCCGGGATTTTATGTAAAGGCGCAATAGAAAGGCAGTACAGTTTTATGTGCAAAATCAAAATACTATTAAAAAGTAGCAAGATGGAGCTTCATTTTGTTAGAGGATTCTTCCATTTCGTGGTGTGTGCACAGCTGTTAGGATATAACATAACTTAACATAACATTCTCCTTCTCCTCCTTAGTTATTTCTTGTTGTTGCTATTGATTAGAATAGTGGGGTCTACAATTAAGATAACTTTCATAGCATAAAAACTTTCTCAGTGTATACAAACTCAGTTGACACTAACAAACTGATCGGTCCTTCCACAATACATTGTTTCAACTCCATTGATTAAACCAACATTTCAGATAAAAAACAGCAGAGGAGAAAAGTGCTCCCCAGTGGGGCTTGTGTTCATTATAATATTAGGTGTATAATATTAAGTGTAATATTAGGTGTGTTATATCCACCTGCTTCAAGACAGCCACCATCATTCCTGTACCTAAAAAGTCTGCAGCGTCTAGTCTAAACAACTACCACCCTGTGGCACTCACCCCCATTCTGATGAAGTGCTTTGAGAAACTGGTTCTTCAGCACATAAAGAACACCATCCCAGCCAGCCTGGACTCTCACCAGTTTGCTTTCAGAACCAACAGATCCACAGAGGATGCCATCTCCACTGCCCGCCACTCAGCCCTCACACACCTTGAGAAAAACAACACCTACATCAGAACGCTGTTTGTGGATTTCAGCTCAGTATTCAACACTATCTCCCCCATGAAACTGATTGGTAAACTCAGCACTCTGGGTTTAAATACAACACTCTGCAGCTGGATATTGGACTTCCTCACAAACACACCCCAGTCAGTTCGGATTGGCAGACACACCTCCTCCAACACCAGAGCCCCTCAGGTCTGTGTGCTCAGTCCCCTCCTGTTCACGCTGTACACCAACAACTGCATCCCCCGACATTGAGAGAACTCTATTGTGAAGTTTGCAGATGACACCACCATCATCGGCCGGATTTCAAACAACGAGGACACGGAGGAAATTCATAATCTTGTAGAGTGGTGCTCAGAGAACAACCTACTGCTCAACGTCAGTGAAACTAAGGAGCCGATCGTTGATTTGAAGAAGAAAGAGATAAAGACACACAATCCTGTCTACATCAGTGGAGCTGAGGTGGAGTAGGTCAACAGTTTCAGGTTCCTGGGAATCAGCATCACAGAGAACCTGACATGGTCATCTTACATCTCCACATTGGTGAAGAAAGCCCCAAAACGCCAAATTCCCACGCCCAGTTCTTGTCAGTTTTTACAGAGACACATCCTGACTGGAAACATCATGAACTGGCATGGTATGTGGACGGCCCAGGACCAGAGGGCTCTGGAGCATGTGATTCATTTATAAGTGATTCAATATTAATGTATATTGTCTGTTAGGGTTGGGCTGATAGACGATGCCATCGTCCATTGACGATGGCTGACAGACATAACAATGTTGAGCCGGCATCGTGATTGTAAAACCCCCGCACAACCAGCAAAAAAAAATCTCAAATTTTCACATTATACCATCCTGTGAAAGCAGGTTTTAATGAGGTCTTATTATTGTTTTTAAGTATGCTTTGCACCTGCCTCGGAATTTTCTTCTCCCCACACTCTGACACACACCTACACCTCAGGTAAACACCCCGGGCTTGCCCTGCCTTTCTCTCGCCCCCCTCTGCTCCATTTTTTCCATCAGCAGTATGTTTTATAAAGTCGCCTAAAAGACTGAGAACTCGTCTTTTTTCCCGTATTTCCACCTGCGATCCCTTATAACAGCAGCAGGTGAGCCACACGTTGGCTTACTGAGGTAGCCTATCAAACAACTGAAACCAACATCTGCACCTTGTGGGTTCACCGTTGCTTTACCTGTTCCGTGCATAAAATATCCACCGCAACTTGTAATGTAAGTTAATAGTCTACCAATTTTTTTTTTTTTACAGAGTGAAGTCTGTGCGAGAACACATGCACACATGACGACTGCTGCTTATTGTGTACCCCGCCAGGAACAGGATTTATCACAAACCTAACAAAATAATTAACAGCCTTTTGCTTTGATGTGTGTGTCACATACAAGAACATTCCTTGATGGGAATATAGTGTGTGTATCATCTGACATTTGAAACAACTGGCTAAAGACAGGACTGGGTTGTTGACCAAGGACTCACTGCAGTCCTTCAGCACCCAGCCTCTTATTCAGAAAGAACCAGCTGCTTTACCAGTGCACACTTGCTGTCAGATGGTTTTATACTTCCACTAATTAGGCTGGGATAGGTGTCAAAATGTGGCAAATTTTCCACATGTACACAGATAGGAGAGAGAGGGTGGTAATTGGGACATGCCAAGGTCTAGCACTGAGTGGAAATGCTGTGGAAGCAGGGTAACATCACCAACAGACATGAGCTGAACTCAACTGTCTATAGGAATTTCTGAGGATGTATGGGAATCTATATTGAAAAACATTCATTCATCTTCAATATGTCAAAGACATCGAGTGATTCAATTTAAAGTTGTTCATAGACTGCATTGGTCTAAAGTAAAACTGGCAAAATTTAAATCAGACATAGATCCTTACTGTGATAGATGTGAAGCCGAACCAGGTACTCTGTCTCACATGTTTTGGCTCTGTCCAAAACTTGAAGTTTTTTGGAAGTCTATATTTAAATTTATTTCCGACACTTTGGGGACAGTCATAGAGCCTGATGCCATGATCTCTGTATTCGGCATTGTACCGCAACATTTTCACTTAAATCAAAACAACAAAAGCCTCATAGCATTTACTACTTTTTTAGCTCGACGGCAGATACTGCTTAAATGGAAAGACAAGTACCCTCCAACTTTTAAAATGTGGCTCATTGATCTCTTATACAATCTGACCATGGAAAAAATAAGGTATGCTACCGCAGGCTGTGCCTATAAATTTTTTGATATCTGGCAACCGGTTCTGGACCAAGTTAGGAAGGTGGATCCCTCTCTACTTACAATTTCAGAGGAGTAATATACTGTACATACTTGTGCTTTCTTCTCTAAAACATGTTAATGAATGTTTTTGTTTTTCAAATTAATATGTGTATTGGTGCAACAGGTGGGGATTGTTCTTGGGTGGGTGGGTTAACATAAAAAGGAAATGTATTGTAAAAGTGTATCTTATGTTTGATAAGATGTTCAATAAAAACACTTTGAGGAAAAAGACATGAGCTGAACTCTTTAGTGCATTGAGGTAGCAAAATCCTTAAACCATCTGCTGCTCTGATTCGCATTCAGCTGAAAGGACTGAAAGGCTTCCACAAACCAAACCAAGCAAGTACATCAACAATAACCAAACAAAACCAAGCAATACTTCAAAAATGACCAAACAAAACCAAGCATTTCAGCAATACCAGATTCTGCTGACTTCTACCCTCATCTGTGTTGTAACTGTTGTGAAAATGATACAACACAAATTGATCTATTGACACAAAAAGAAGCTGCTTATTGAAATCACTGTGCACATGTGTTCATCATACGCATTCAAAGTAAAAGGTAACTGCAGTTATTTAGGCTTACCTCTCTCTGCTTGGTCTCTGGGCACTCAGAGTGCAGGGTGAGGGTCGCCCCCTCTATGTTGCGTGGCATGGGGGTGGAGCCTGGATTTATTGTGAACTGGATCTGGTCTGGAGAAATGGTGTGGTGCACATAACCCTGTGACATGCCATCAGGGTCTGTCATAAAGGCCAGAGACCCCTCCTCCTCATCTCCATCACCTTCCCCTTCAGTCAGGAAGGTGACCCCATCTTCGTCCCCTCCACAGTGACCCTCCTCTTCGCCCTCCTCATCTAGCCGGATGGGGTCCCGCTCAATGAGCACTGTTGTGCGGTCGTACACCCGACCAGAGGACGATGAAGGCTCAGGAATCAGGTCATTGTCTTTGTCGAAGTGGATCTTGTCTTCTTCTTCTTCGTCGTCCCGCCCCAGGTGATCCACCTGGACCTCAAAATACATAGTCGCCTCTGTATGAGGGCCATTCTCACTCATGGTCCTGGTGCCTCTCCTTCCTTGGCAAGGAGGACTGCACCTGAACGTTACAGCCTGAAAAATAAATGAGTAAAATTATTTTTGTTAATTTACGCAAGGCAACTTTATTTGTATTGCACCTTTCAATAACATGGCAATTCAAACAGCTTTACAGACAAAATATTATCAAGACATAAGATAAACAAAAGTGTTATGAAAAGACACATAACAGGGTTTAAAGACTAAAATAAAATAGAAGATGGAAATAAGGCCAAATTGAATAAAACAAACATGAGAATGAAAATTACAGTGCAAGATATGAACATTACATTTAATTTAATAAAAGTCACTGCCTAACAGAAATGTGGACCTCACGTTTTCTGGAAGATTGTTCCAGACCTGTGAGGTATAAAAACTGAATGCTGTGTCTCCATGTTTAGTTTGACTCTTGTAATCAAGCCTTTCCCTAAAGATGTGAAAGGTTTGGACTCAGATCTAACATAGCAGTGGACCACACGTGTGATCCTCCATTCAAAATAAAGAGACATTATAGAAACGGTTTAAGTTTATTATCCTAACACTGAATATGCTTCTAGAATGCACTGCATCTTAGAGGCCTGTTCTGACATCCAGTAACAACTACCAACAACTGGCTGGACCAAGCCTCAAGTATGAGTGCTCTCTCTAGAGAGGGGCTTTGACTATGCTAAATGCCAATGTGAATACGTTATACTACTGCTAAAGCAGACTTCCGTGTGTCAATCAAAAGAAAGTAAAAAAGTGCAAGTATTAAAATATTGAGTTTTCTAGTTAAACCCACAGTTAATGACACATTAGCCCTGTTTAGGGGAAACTAACGATACCACGCCGAGATCTAGAACTTTCTGATTTCAATGACATAAGTCACGAGACAGCAGCGGCCAGACTCGAGCTTATTTAACGGCCATGACTGATGATTTTCAATCGATTATAACCAGAGACGGTATAACTCACCTAGCTAGCTTTCGTAAAACGTTATGAGTAACGTTAAGTTAACGTATGAAAGATGTCAAACTCACAGGACAATGCCAGTTAACTGTTCTATAGTCGAGACGGCTGGCTAACGTTTACGCAGTTTAATTACAAACAGACTGGCTTTATAAACACAAATACCAAGTGTACCCCGTTTGACTGACAATGCAGTAACGTTAACTTTACCCTAACCTACCTGTCACGGGACTGGGGTAGTTAGCCCTACACAGTTAGCAGGCTAGATAACAAACCCCTGGTCGATATGACGTTATTCCAAATAATACATATTGGTCACATCGTTATTAGCCTCAGATCTGTCGCTATCGGAATAACGTTACTACAAACAGAAATCAAACAGTAGTTTGTGTACTTATCCAATAATATTCTATCATTAATCGCGTTTTTAAGTATAGTTATGTGGCTTTGATTGCAGTCAACCTAACGCTAACGTTCCACATTTCTGTATTTAGCTTGCGGGCGCCAGCAAGCAGCTAAATGAACGTTAGTTAGCTAGCTATACGCTGGCTAAGTCACATATCACTTATTTCTCTACACATGCATAGCTCTGCTAACTAGCAACAATCTAGCTCATAGCTAAGCTACAGAACGAGCTAGTAACGTTGGCCAGTTTACTGTCGATATTACCTATCTTCACTGCAAGGATAACAACTTTCATGTTACCAAGTCATAACCTGCCATGTAAACGCGTAAGTTCATCGACTAAAAGGAAATGACATTAAAATATATTTACCTGGTAAAATGTAAGCCTTAACCCTATGCTTTGGATGTTTAGCACTTTCTTTCTATCCCCTCCCTAGGATACCATACGTCACAGACTCACAACCATTCGTGATGAATTATGGGAAATTAAACATCATTCCTAATGCTAAATTAAAATATCAAACTTTATTCTTTCTAAAGATGTAACTTTTTCACGTTTTTATGTGTGTCAAATGTGTTTAGATAGGCTGAATGCAGGAGGAAGGATATTCTCTCCCTCATTATGAAGAAACCAAACACATTAATTTAGTGTTGATGTATTACAGGCAACATGGACTGAGAATAAAATTTGAATTAAAAATCAGTCACACACAGCTTGTTTCTAACCTTTATATATAAAAACAATATACTGTTGAGATCAGAAACATTAAAATACAAATCATTTTTAAATAAAATATACATTAAAAAGTGTTAGGTCTCTACAGAGGCTCAATGATATACAATAAACTCTGTGCATCAACAGATCAAAAATCAGATAAGAGATGTCATTTTCAGTAATTATACTATATCTATACAAAGAGCCATCTAAGAATATAAGAAATAATTACAGTTTATTTCAAATACTGGACTGTACAGTGTTTAGTGTTCAGCTTCAGCATGAAGGACAAGAGGGACAAGTCCTCCATCTAGGAGGACCCTTGGGTCAGGAAGTGCTGAAAAAACTCTTGAGTCTTCCTCTTTTCTGCAAGATCCTGCTTCATGGGTGACTTCAGGAGCAAGGAGGCAAAAATAGTTGCTATGAAGAAGGAAAACAAATTGTTCATATTGAATAATAAATAGCATGTTCCTTTTCTTAGTTGTAATGTACTATCTTAATTAGCAGAGGTTAGACGAATGTGACAGAGAACATGAGAAGAAATTTAAGGAAATAGAAGGATTTTAAATAATTATCATATTTAGATGGTAGTACAATTCCCTTTGCCTTTATTTATACAGGGTAGGTTGGGTGAGCACACATTATCTTTTACAGAAACTGCCTGTTTTGCACAGAGTAAGTTGAACAGAAAGTAAGTTGAAATAGTCCTTGAGTTATAAACAGAACAGAATAAACAGGACTTTCACTTTCCATTTTGCTTTATTCATTAGTTTCTCTTCATTTACCCAACATGTTGACTAATCAATAGCTAATAATGACACATTCACAAATGAAAGAGACTGTGCAACCTGCTCTCTTTTCTTACCCAAAATGTTGACATCTAATCGATTGCTAGCAGAATTCTTCAAAAGCTCTCGGAGAAAAGCAGCTAAATAGTTGAACACATTTTGATGGCACTGAGGTAGCATGGAAATAACCTGCAGACAAAATACATTTTTGTATCAAAAAAGCCAGAGATTAACTTTATGATTTGAACACATCTTGGAATAGATTATTAGTGATCAGTGATTAACTGCAGCCAGTCTCACTCACTTTCTCACACTGACTGGCGTTGGAGCAGCTTTCTAGGCACTGCTGGTAAAAGGAGAAGGGAACCACAGGCTCTGGGAGGGCATCTAGAAACAGAAGTAAGGCTTCTGCTACTGAGTGGTTACTACCAGCTGCAAGTCAATACAGAGTCAAGGACATCACTCTTGTTCAGAGATGCATGTATTGAAATGTAGTAGGTGCAAAATGAGAATCAAATACACGATTGCAATCCAAGGGTTCATTATAATGTCAACACAACATTTAATATCTATGTACTTCACTTCATAACTTCTATAAAGATGAACACTATGGCTATGATGGCAACTGTTTTGAAGGATACGAAGAGAATCCGGCATGCCAGTGTCAAGGCAATCCCTTATTTCTGCAAATTCACTCCGAAGCCCAGGTTGCTGAAATATGTCTTCCTGTAAATAGAGGACATTAAATATTAAATATTTGTGTCCTTAAAAAGCAAGGCAAGGAGCAAAATTCACTTGGGCTGAAGACGGTTTGAGGCATGGTGGAGCTACAATGGACTTTGACTTAATTAAAATTAAAAGCGAAATGCTGTGTTTAAACTGCCTGAATCAAGGCTTTTAACAGTAAAGAATTCCCTTCACCAAATGAATGCAGAGACTCTACAAAGCTTCTTGGCTGGCAGGCAAAACTACAGTCATACCAGTGTCTTTGTAGCCTAGTCTTTAAAATATTGACTTTATTATTGTGCTTAATTCTCATGTGCATGCAGCAACTTCAATTTATAAGAAAAGACAAATAGGTTGGAAGGAGGCCAAGAGTTACATAATTCACTTTAATTATACAAACCTGCAAATGTGAAAATACCTAAAAAGGAGTACAGTGTTTTTTGACCACTAACATAGAAGCTTCAGCAACACATCTTCTGACCTGTTTGATTGCATTGCGGAACAAGTGATCCACCATCATCCACAGTTCTTTAGGAATGTCTAGGGGCTTTTCACTCTTTGCTGCATTCTCATCTCCAGACTTCTCCGCCTGATGTTGAGAACAACCAGAGCAAAGAGAAGCAGTTCATTCAAAATGGATTCTGTGTTTATCTTCAAATCTGCAAAGCTATATAAATTAAAAATAAACAAACTACCATGCTGTGGCCTGTGACACAACCCTGACTGGAGAAGAGGTATTTCAAGGACACTGTCCCCGATCTGCACATGGGATCACTAACCAATTCACGTAGGGTCCCTTGGGGCATGTCCCTAATGGGCTCCCTCAGCTGACACAATGAATGGATGGAGGTGCCGTAGCAGCTGGGGAGGTAGTTTCCTGTCACAGAAATGAAGTAGTCCTTGCCACGCTCCAGGTGGAGCACCAGGATGTCTTCAATCTGCTCCTTGCCCGAGTTAAGTTCAGGCGCCGTTGAGCGGTTTACAAAAACCTCAAGATCAATGTCTACAGAAGCACCTAGATGTTGAGAGAGACGCACATACAAAGTAAGGGGCTGAACTGTCATAATTCAGGAACTGATGCCTGCTGCATCAGTTGTGTTATGAGTTATGTTGCGCTAAGGTCACTTATTTAGGTAATAGCGTATGAGGATTTGCAAAGCACCAAGCACCACCCCTGATCTATTTTCATCTTGTACAACAGAAAGCCTGCCATTGTGAGTCAAAATCAAAGCTGCCTCAAAGCTCATGGTGTACTTATACAATTTCTAAAATCTAAAGGCAGGACAATGATGTTACTCCTGGATGAAACTCTATGAGACTGTATGTGCTACTCACCCTGAGCGATAAAGCCTTTGGGGGGGTTGGCTGTGAGCCAGGGCTTGCAGTACGTGGGCTCATTCGGCTTCTGGATAAACTCAAACTGACACGGGACCTGCCCGTCATTGATGATGCTCAATGTCTCCGCCTGGTGCTGCATGAATTTCACATCCTGAAAGTGGAACTAAAAGAACAAGAGGGAAGGCTTCATGAAGCAAGATGGAAAGACTCTACTCTATTTCATGTAAATGTATCCTTTAAATGTGTGCATTAGGCTCACAGCCCGAGATCAATACACTGCTTCATTAGTGGTGGTTAACTTACTGAATTTATTAAAAGGAACATAATTTATTGTACAATGTGTATCAGAGAAGCATTACAGCTCCCATTACACTGTAATAGAACTGATTATGATGGGAAACTTTACCTCTCTCTTGGCCAAGGTTACAGATGGAATACACTCATTCTCCATTTTGTCTATGTTGCGTACTATCTCTTCAAAGGTCTTCTTATAGGCCTCAGTATTTACTCTCTTGATCTGTAGGAGACAATGCAGCATAGACATCGGTGTTATATTTCCCTTACATAATACTGCAATACATATGTGATAGGAGCCTGTTGGAGTGCAGTGAGCAGATAACGTCCAATCTCAGTGCACTTTTCATTGACTTATCTCTTCTCCCCTCCACTATTTTTCAAAAGAAAGGAACTTCACAAGGAGGACCACTGTGACTTTTTTCGCCCAAAACAAGAAACTAAATGAAAGAAATTCAAGATGAAATTAGTTAGAGGGCTGAATACTTTACCCCAGTGACAAGCAGGGAACTGACTGGTTTGTGGTCACTGGTCTTCAGAGCCATGTGACTCTGATAATGCTGCTGCTTGATGTTCTTCCCTCTCCATAGGATACGGTCACACCACGCAGGCACACGGCATTTTTCACTAAATGCAGAAGAAAGAACAGATGTTCATTCTGAAGTATGTTTAGTATACCTTGACCTTGTCCTATACAAAGTATTAAAATGCATAAGACAAAAATTACATCTGTATTACAGTATTTTTGTACATACTTTATCAAAGTTAATTATTTTTTCCATTGGGAAATTCTCTAGCATGCTTGAAAGAGCAGAATACTCCATTAAAACTGAGCAGCTCTTTCTAAAATGGCATTAACTAATGGCATTAATTCATTTTGTTTGTAGACTAGAAAACTTCTATAAACAAACAATAGGGTAGCTGGAATGTAGTGTCTGTTCTGGGATAAGTTGAATGTGTGCGTGTGTTGCAAAAAATACAACAACAGCATAATAGCATGTGTAGTTTCATTAGTTGGATTACTTCACATTTCTTTCTGCAATTATCCTTACTTTAACTATAAACAACAACGCTATCACTGAAGAACGAGCTCCTTAATAAAAATATTCCATCCTGCTATT